GTTTGAGCACAAAAGGCTTGATTGGAGCAAATCATATACATAATGGACACGTCTATATATGTGTACTATAAGTAATGTGAATGAGCGCTGAAAACGCCAACTGTGTTAAACGTTCCTTGTTGGGACCTTGTTGTGGGAGTTTCATGAATAAGATCACCAAAACAGGAATATATGTATCTATGCAAGATACTTGATATGCTTACATGTAGATCAATATGTATTTATATATATACACATACAAATTTGGAGTACTTTGCCCACACCACGTGAACTTGTATACCCATGCGTTTATATATGTACTAGTATATGCATTGATTGCTTGGCGTTGGTTTTTGCTGTCAATGCGCTTACAGTATTTATACAAAGCGCAGCAGGCAGTCACCGTCCGCTTCCACAGCTTTTGGTCACTGCCGAAGGAGCTCCTGCGTCGTGCGGACAAAAGCAGCGAGGTAGTGGGTTACCAGGCGCATGGTGTCGACAGGGAATGTGCAGTCGGGCGAAAGTCGATAGCACAAGTTCCTCATGGCTTAGGCGGTTTAGGTATCCCCTTACCCTGTTTCTCAAAAAGGGGTGGGGCCCGGGCGTGGGCAACGGTGGTGGGATTCCCTTGAAAGTCTCCCAAAAAGTGGATGACCCCAAATTTTAAGCCAGACCCACATCAAAAACATGCGCGCCATTTTTCAGCCCGGCCAGGCGGCAGCGCCTTATGCGCAGCCCCTGCTCAAGGCTCGCACAAAAATATGGCTGAGAAACCAACAGGGCAGCCACCGTTTTGGGGGGTGCGCCATTTTGACACATACCCATATGTTTCAAAATGCTTATGACATTTGAAAGGGAAACCCCTTGGATATGGTTGGTGGACACAGCTCGCCATGTAAATAATGTCCACTAAAGGGTTCCCCCCTGCAAAAATCGTACCCGGATAGGGAGCCAACCCACGTTCAGAGTTTCAATGGAGTTTGGTTGCTCCTTTGCAGGTGCTTGGTGTTCTGGTGTTCAGCCACTTGAAGAGGTCTTGAGTCGGTGTCACTTGAGAGCTCAAGAGTGCGTTCTAATGGTTGATGTCAGATAGGCGCAAATTGATGTACAAGGACCGCCTTTGGACATATTAACGGAATGTTTTTGAATGCGGTTTGTATGCCGTGTGCCACTTGAAAGAATCTGAAGACCTAGGCTTCTTATGGGCCGTGGAGTATTGCACGGAACGCGAGCCTTTCATATTTATTCACAACGCGCCCCAAGCCCGTGTTGTTAGATATCCGGATGGCAGTCTGTTGCCAACTTATCAAGCTTTTTCATGGAGGTTCAAACCATAATTCCCGAGATGGAACCTGGCAAAGGGAAGCAAAGACGAAAATAGAACCTGCCGCAACTCTAAGTCTTAAATTTTGAGCCACACCCATATGTCTTAACTTGTGGTGGAATCCCTTTACAAGTTCTCGGAACAGCCAGCATGTTGCACATGTTTGATGCTGCTTTAGATTGGCCATTGCCAGATGGTGGAGCATGCTGATCTAACTCGCGATGTCAGGAGTGAAGCTGTCACACCGGGCACGGTACGCCCAGCATGGCATTTTTAAGGCACAGCGTCACTTCAGAATGTAGACCTTTGAGGTGTGTTCCAGGAGGATGCATCAAGTTGCGTAGCACATGTCGTTTTCAGTTGCACTCAGCTCCTTTGCCCACCTGCCTGCTTGTTTGGGGCGGAACAAGAAAATTTTGTCTTGGAGTCCTGGCCAACACATGTCTGGCAAAGCGTCACCGTTGTTCTTATTTATCATGGCCTTTTTCTACACGCATGCAGCAACTTTTGCTACAGATTCTAAAGTGCACCTGACCAAATAAATTATTCTGTCCTGGTCCGTTTGGCAGCCTCACCCTCAAATTCCTCAGAGACATCTTCTCACTATACAAACGGTCATCATCACTAGCTGATGTAAAGGATGCCGTTTGTTGCAAGGCTGAACGCGGCTGATTGTCCTTTGCATGTTCAGAATTACTTTGCCATCAACAACAGAGGATATACCTGCATTGGGTCTTTGGTCAAGTTCTGGTGGCCTGTCTGACTTTGGTTAGCCCTTGGGACTTGCTGCCAGCAAGAACAAACATGTTAGGAGGTACGCCAAACAAGAAGCTTGGTGCCTTGTTTGACCTCACCCCTTGCATCACCCGAGTCAGCCCACATCCGACGCGCTTCTCAGGTGAAGCTGGGCGATCCCGAATGCCTCGAAGACGTGCACGCGTCCTTCTGCCGGCGCCTGAAGCCACTTAGGGAAGCTTAGAAACATGTACTTGTTTTGGGATGTTTGGGTACATGTTTTGAAGATGCTTGAAGTGAAGTAAAAGGAAAACCACCTTTGCTGGGGGCTCGCCCATTGTGACACAAACCCATATCCACAGGTTCTGTGCCATCATATATTCATTTGGCAACATATTGTGGATCATTCGCTGCAGATGTGTGCGTGTGCTCTTTCAGGCAACATGTGCGAAGCGGCCAACAAGGTCTTGAAATTTCGAAGTCGCCGGAAGTCCAAGGTAAACAACGGATATATTCATATTCATATCATATATAGTATGTCTGTGTTTCTCATACCTTAGTTATTATCATAGCTGATGTTAACAGTGTTTCCAGTGTTTCGTGTTTTACATAGACGTTATGTTGATCAAATGATTGTTCCAAAGCTTTGGAGGTGACGACCAAAGACGACAGAAAGGCAGCAGCGAGGCCATTGGGCCGTTGTTGTCCGATGGCATGGCTTTTCATGGGCCCCGACCCATGGCCGTCACATCTTCACACATGGCTGGCCTCGAAATTAACATGGAATATGTGGGGGGTAGCTCACCCGGTGAACTTGTTGCTTGTTCGGTGTTACATCATATACCTTTTCAAGCAAACAGTTAACTGTCTGTAGAGGTGTAAGGCTGGCCAAGTTCAGGGATCTCTTTTGTGCAGATTCCCCTGGTTTGCCCTTGTCTTGGTTGTAGGTCCGATTGTGGAGCAGTTCAGGAACTCGATTGCTGTTTCGTCAGAGAGTTGACGTTCCACTGTTTGGGAACCCGAGAGTTTTGTCCAGTATCCCGTTAAGCAGGTGCACTGGTCCGCAGCGGTTGGAACAAACCCTCAGGTGCAGGCTCAACCAGTTTCTTTCTTTTGGGGAGGATTAGACTCAGCACATCAGTTGGTAGTCTCCGCCTGGATTGAATCGGATGAGAAGGAGGCAACAAAGATCAACCAATGGCACCATGTTTCCGTTGTTTTTCTACCCGGATCGCTCGGCAACTGGGATGGTTTGTGGTGGCTCTCCAGTTCAAGCTATTTTGTTTCTTAGATACTCTTGGCATGCTTTCTGCACGGTGTTCAATTTCTTGTTGCCTGTTCCTGATAAGTGGTTCTTGGGAACAAAGTGTATTGCTCACATACCAAGATATGGGAATGGGCCCAAAATAGGTACCCAAGATGGACTCCGTACGCATGTAACCATATACCCATATGCCCATTTACCCATACCCATTGATTCAGACAGCTCCGATCTGCCAGGTGTACCTGGAGCACCTGGCCACAGGTGGGGAGTTGACCGCCATGACGGCGCCCTTTGGACTTGGAAGGATTTCGGGTGGGCGGTGGGATGTCTTTGAATCCAGGGGATGATCCAAGCTCCAATTCTTCACTTGGTGGCTCCCAGCCATCCCCTTAGCTTTTTAGCCGTTTAGTGTTTAGTGGTAGTTTCCATTGAATCCACGAACAATTCAACTTTTGGAGGGGGATCTGAGGGCAGCCCAGCTCAGGTTTTGGAATTGCATTTGCAGATGTCATTATTTTGTTCACGCTCGGAGCCAACCCCAAGCATGCCCAGAACTCGCAACCGCCCCACGGCACGATCCATACATCCCTTTACATGGAACCCTCCTCTGAACCGCCTCGTGCATCCCCCGGAACCGGGAGCCCTCCTCGGAACCGTCCCTCAGAGATGCCCGCACCACCCCGGAGCCTATGGGCGAAGACCCCATAGCTTTCAGCTGTTGGGGAAGAAAGCGCGCACACCTCAAGCACCCCTGTCTCAGCCCTGCCTGCTGCTGCTGCTGCCCCTTGTCACTTTGCTCCAACGATCTGCTACTCGCCCTAGGAGGATAGCTGGCAATAGCTTTTGGTAAATTTGGTATGTTACGTCCACAGTTTTCTCCCATTTTTGTCCGCCAGACCTTTCAGCAAATGTTTGTTTCTCTGGTCCTCTAGGCCTGCTCTTTTCCCAACCTTCTCCCACAGTTTCCAAGCAATCTCACACCTGTTCCCTGGGTTTCCCGCCTTTCTCTTTCTGTTCTCCTAGTGTTTCCTAGATTTTCCTCACTGTTGATATTGTTTCAATATGTTCCATTTTTGCCAAATGCTTCGATTTGTCCACAACTTGTTCACGTTCTTTGGGTAATGTCAGCTGAGCCAACATCTTATCATGGTCATGTCATCAGTCACCTCAACACTGCCATAATGCCAAGGTAAACCAACTAGTTCCCACAGATCTCCCAGACAATGAGTGTCATATTTGAGTTTGATGGTTGTGTGTTGTTTAGCCCTGTCAGGTGCTGCAGAGAGCTCATTTAATGCAACCCCACGTGTCATTTATAAAATTTATACACATATCTGGGGGGAAGTGAGATGTGAAGTGCGTGATACTGGTGGTACAGAGTTCCGAGTTCCTCATTTGTTTTTCCACCCGACATGGAATTTGGAGCTTTGCTATCTCAGGCACTTGGATCCGAAGCAGATTCACAATTTTGTAGCTCTCCCCAGGAGAAGCTGCAAACAGCTTCAAGCTTTAGACATCCTACGCCCAGGCTGGACAAGGCCCACATCGCCTGCGCTTCCAGCGAGGGTCAGATCTGGCCAGGGCCTGAGCGCGATGTTCGTATCCCAGTTGCCCAGCGGCCAAAAATGCCCATGTTGTTTCAGGTCTGGAAGCAGCCAGCACCTAAAAGATGTGGAGTTGTTTGCTCTTGTCCCCGTGGGGCAACTAGGGTATCCATGTGATTCGCGCCTTCCGTACACTGTCATAGAGTCATAGGAGTGGTTGTAAACCGCAGGCAATGGTGCCCTGTATAAGTGTTTCTTCACAATACAGCCCTTACTACGAGTAGCATTAGTTTCTTGACTCCAGGAGTATGCCCACTCAGAGATGTACAGATTCCTTTGCCGTATCCTTCTCTAGCAGAAGCGCACGGCACTAAGGTATTCAAGCACCAGATCCAACAGGCTCATGTTCATTGGCGAAGCTGAAGGGTGAATTTGAGAGGACTGTCTTAGGTCTTTCAGGTACCATGGTGATATGGGAGGCTCCTTGAAAGCGACCAGGCCGATGTTCAGCCATCAGAACTGCTGAATGTTCAATCCAAGGTTTGGGGTTGAATGTTGTCAGTGTAATCGCGCACTGAGGGTCTACAACTGGCGGGAGGACCGGGTGATCAGCCAGCTTCGGAGCAGCTCCGTGACGTTGCTGGACGAGGATGGAAACCCGGAGGCGAGGAAATCGGGGCTGGAAGTGGGCAATTGTTGCCCTTGACTAAAGTGACTCTGGTAGAATCGTTTAAACAAGTTGTAGGTGTAGGGTTGAAAGTTGGCTGAGCGGGCTTGGACCAGTGGCAAGCATGGTTTACCAGTTGCAACTTTTACAACCAACTTAGTCAGTACGGCCACAGACATGCATCATGTCGCTTAGTTGGGTAGATCAAAGTCGGCTTCCCAGGCATACCAAGTGTTGTGACTTCGAGGATATATCTATATATATACATATATATATATATATACACACCATCCCACCAACTAACGTCGAATCCACCGATGGGTGGCTTTAAACGGAGAACAGTCTTCCAGCGACCCCTTAGTCAGGTTCCATGTTAGTGGGCGGGAGGGTGTGTATATATATATATATACATACATATCACAAATCATAAGGACAGCAATGCTGTGCCGTTGGCGTTTTTCCATCTTGAGGAACTCTGACTGAGGCAATCAAACGTTTTTTTGACCGCTGATGACCCTGGGCAACTACTGACAGCATGCTTCACTCGCTTGGACACAGCAAGCCACTGACTTGGCGTCAAATCGGGAAGCCGGATCAAATGGACTTCCATTGTTCTAACCAGGTTTGTGACAAGTTACCTTAATCTCGTCACCTTCTCTGTCCGAAATGTCAGTATCCTGGGTTGCGGGCGAAAGTGTCCGGAAAGACGGGGGAAGCTGAAGGAAAGAACAAGAGTAAGGGGGGTTCTCGTCCTTAAGACTTTCAATCTGGGCGCAGACTCTAGCGCGTGGCAATCCTAATCGAGAAGTTCATGGATGACTTGTCAACCTGCATATTGACCACATATTGTGTCTACCACGAGACATAATACAAATGTAGAGGAGTCAATGTTGGAGGGCGATCCTCAAGGAGTCAAAAGTAGTATAACATCCCAGAGGCGGAGGCGGAGGCGACATAGTTTAGGTTGCATTCATTGCTTTTGTTTGGCCTTCTGGCCAAGGGGCACTTGAGACAAGTAGCACAGTTTGCCCAATGGCAGACCGACTCTGAGCCACCCGCAGGTGTGCAAGGTTCGACGCATGCAGCCCCTCACGCAGGTGGGAAAGGGGGGCGGTACCCGGCAAGAGATTTCCCACGTGGCACTGCTTGTGTTTCGCTTCCGGTGTCGGGAGCTATAGGATAAAGCACACCAACATGTTGCTTTTAGCAGCGGGCACTTTATTCTGCCCTTCCCCCTGCGCCACTTCCCTTTTACATTCAGGAGCCTCCCCCTTCTGGACACGCCACTAGATTTGAGACGTGCGCGCACGAGCCACCTTCAGTTTATGTTGCTTCTGCAAAAGGGCACAACACAATTCCTGAGTCCCCACTGCCTGGTGTCGCGATTGCTAATAGTTCTGCTGTGCTCAAGAGGACACCTCGCGAGTAGCACATTGAGAAATTTGTCAACGCCAAGAAGAATTGATGTGGTCTGGCGCAATTGTACTGGATTATCTCTGAAACCACAATCCCAAAACTGTACATTTGGACTGGTCTGATCCTTTCAAAGTTTCCTCGCGCTTCGGGGCCCTGAATTTCAACTGTGGTGCACACGATACATATGGGTCTGTGTTTTTAGGGGACCCACCAAGATTGGTGGTATTCCGTTTGGTTTTCCGTTGAACCCACCAAAGAAAGGGGTGCTGTCAAAAAAAGACACACACACACACACACCCATATCCTGCACCTTTTTTGGTTGAATGCGCCTCGCTTTGGCAGGACCACCGGGTACTTGGCACCTGCGACGAGCGCGGCACCGCCCAGGGCTGAGCAAATCCAAGCATCGAACTGGGTGACTCTTCGCGACCTCTTTGCCAGGTCGGGATTTGTTTTTCAACCCCCACAGCCGAGACTGAAAGGCTCAGTTGTTCAGTGGCACCCTTTTTCCCTTTTGTTTTGGTGGCTGCCCCACTAAAAATGGTCTTCCCCAAAAAGGGTTCCCTTTTTCCCCAGGGTCACTGAACAACTGAGAAGGGCACTTTAAGAAGGGCTTTAGATAGGGGAAGTGCTCCTTGACTAGTTGGTTGCACCCCCGGCTCTGACAAGAAACAACCAGGCTGGTGGAGTGGAGAGCAATCCCTTCCCACTGCAGTAGTAATGAATGCGGCCCCTTCCCAACAAAAATCTTCGCTTGGGCCGGAACTTGTTTGATTCATACGGCGCATCAGGGCACCAGGGGGCTTTCCTTGTTCAAATGGGCCCCGGTTTCCATCCCCAACATGGCAGTGTCCGAGTAAGGAATGTTAGTAGCAGAGATCTATGTCAATTTATGTTTTACGGATTTGTGCTGGTTTCGATCTTGTTGAACTTTGATTTAGTATTGGTTCAAAGATGTCCTAATTCCACCGGAGTTAGGATCGGCGGAAATTTGCTGAATTTAATTTAGTCTTGGCCAGTTCCAATTTAATTGTAAACGCTTCGCATTGCCCACCTCGGCCAAGCCCAGCACACAGCGTCAGCGCTTCGAAAGGAAGGAACAGCGCGGGGAAAAATCAGTGGAAGCAGCTGGGCTGGCGAACAGACTGGAGCGTGGATTTGGGTGTGGAGCCAGGGACCGATTTGAGGGGTGGAGGAGGGGTGGGATGAGCCAGGACGGAGCCAGGTCTCCGGGCGCGAGCCGATGCAATTCACGAAGCGCTTCCAAGCAGCTGGAGTGAGTTCTGAGAAGGTCGAAGGGATCTGACCACTCTTCTACGCCCTCCCTGGAAGGACTTTTATCCTGAGGGTACTTCTCACCATTGGAACGACAACCAGTACGAACTTCGACATTGGGTTTGAAAGATCTTGAAGATGTTCTGAAAGGGTTTGACCGCTTCCCGGACTTGGAGGCTGAGGCGAAGTATTGTGCGATTTGCGGGTAATGAAATATAGCATAAATATATTGAATGGTTTTGTATCACGTTGGGACCCTGTTATCGATTGTCTACTGTTGGAGGGTGCCCGCTCAAATTCAGTTCCGAAGGGAACTGCTTCAAGGAGCATTGCCCACACGATCTCAATGCAACATTCAAAGCAACTGTTTGCATGGACGGTGTTCGTTACTTAGTTAGACGGATACGTTTAGAATTTGCCGGCGTCATGTCTCAGGTCTGCATTTGGGACCTGTTCACCTCTTCCCTCATTGCAGAGGCTGGCCAGCGGTCTTACCTTGCCAGTCATCGACGAGTGGCTGGGTGGTTGCTTTGAAGCTTCACGTTTCGCATGGCATTAGTGCTGATGCTTCGCATGGCCCTTGAGCAGGACGCTCTAGAAGACTAAGCTAGTTCGATGTTTTCCTTGGCAGAAGGAATGTGCTTGATGCTGGGAGTCAAGGATGGCTATGACACATTGGACTGTTTGGCTTTTGGGACAGGAAGGCTCTATATATATAATATATACAGGATCCCAAATAGAATCACCCCATACGCCACACCTGTTGCCCTCTGCTCTAGGGCCTGAATGACCCGCCACGCACTTGATGTGGTAACAAACCATAGGGCGGTCAAATACACTAAAGCACTAATGTTGCCCTTGCGGTTTGGATACTGGAGCGCAAGTAGAACAACAATAAGACCTACGAGGAAGCGGTAGCAGCGCAAAGACAGCAGACAGAAAACCCAGCCCCTTGTGTTTTCGCAACGTGTACATCTTGTTTCTTCCAAGAAGGCAAAGCCACATCGTGTGGATACTGCTGCACTGCTTGTCAGCTTCTAAGGGGGGTAATTGCACTGAGCAACATCGGGCGCCACTCTCCGTCTTGAACAGACTTGTCCCTGGAGCAGAAAAGGAGTCGAACCAAGGCTGGAGTGCAGGGGTCTGTTTATGTTTTCTGGGTTTTGGTATTTCAATTTCTCTTTACTGGCAGTTTTAAGGTCAGTTTCGATTTGGTTTGGTGATGTTTCAAGGGGACGATGGACCCCTGGTTGTTGGACGCCTGTACAAGTTGCCTGTATTGATCGTGTATGTGCACAGTAGGCGCCAAAGTAGAAACCTTACTATACGGATGGCTTCGCGTTTTCTTGGAAGCCTGTCCCCAAAAAGTGTCTATGACAATGACCAGTACCCAGCTTGCCAAACGCTTTCGGACCCTTTCGGGCAGTCCGTTTGAATCGGGTCCCCGACCAGATTTTACGACGGCCGTTTCTGCGGGTCTCCTTGTTTGAGGAATGGATCAACTAGTCACCGTCGACTGCCCAGACCTTCAGTGGAGCCCGTCTTTTCTTTTGTTGTTTTTTCTAGAGTCAAGTACCAGGAAAGGCTTGTTCTTCCCGACCACGGGAGGTCTGGGCTTTGGCCCTGGATTAATCAGAGGGGATAAGGGCCCAAAAAGTGAAGGATCCCCCTGTAAAAATGGGACAACCAAAAACTTGTGAATTCTGGGTTTCCTTCCGGAACTGGTCACTTCCGCCGTCGGCGGCGGTTTCGGGCACACGATGCATGGGCCGTCGCTGGCCGCTGAAGGGAAATAG